GATTGAAAAATTGAGTTTGTCCTCCTTTATCTCATATGATTTGATAATGATTCAAATGTTCATAAATGCTTAATATATCGGACTACGAATATATCACCGAAGAGGTCATATGTCAAGCGCGTTAGGTGCAATACTCATTACGTTGCGGCAACATGACGCTGTACTTTGGCAACGAATAAATCGATATTTGCCTTGATTACTCAGTGAGTTATTAACCTCAGTAATTATCGTTGAAAAAAGTTTTTTTTTAAAGAATTTTGTAATTACCCATCGTATCTTTAGTAGATTTCTTCCTGAAAGATATTTCCGTATTTCCCTTGTTTCGAACAATATGCTACTCATTCCAACCTCCGCTCATGTTATTTCGCTCTTCTTGCAGGATTCTCTCATACTTTCCTTTTGAAGTTCAGTATGGTGGCATTTGACATCAGAATTATTCGCATTAATTCAAAACGTTCAATCTACAGAATTGAGTTAGATGGACAAGTATTTACCATGACAAAGACATGGGGTTTATCTCTGTTTTTCAGATGTCTCTGGATGATCTCAAAAGGATAGTGGAAAAACGTACTTCGATCTATGATAAATATCAGACGATACTGCACAATGGCAAGCTTATCCCTACTGGAAGACTTCTCACTATTGAGCCCGACGATAAAGTTCAAGTGGTAAGTTTATTGGTTAGTTGAATTAATGAAAAACATTAATACAACCCACTTCGTACTTTCAATCTCTCAAATCTTTAAGCTTGTTCACCATGTTCAAGACCAGTGTCAACTTTCTTCTTCGAAGCAGCATTCCATTTTTAAAATTTGGGGCAAGTTCGTGAGATTGTTTCAATTAGCACGAGGAGCACGGAGAGCAGAAGACCCAAAATCTCAAACCATACTGCTGAATGACGAGCTAGTGGATACCGAAAGATTTCTCACTATTAAGCGCGGAGATAAAATTGAAGTGGTAAGCTTGTTGATTCTTTAAATTTCAATAAGTATAATGCAACCTAGTTTGTAGTTTAAATCACTCAAAGAGCGTTCGCCGTATCCGAGACAAATGCCCACTTTCTTATTTTCAGGAGCATTCGATGTTGAAAATCTGGGACAAGTTCATGAGATTGTTTCAATTAGCACAAGAAGCACGGAGTGCAGATGACTATGCTTCTGAACTGCAGAATGCTTTGCTAGCACAGGAACAGCTCACAATTCTCTCCAACTCAAATTTTTTTTACACTTTTCACCACTTGTTGAGCTTTCGTGGAGACTTCCGTAATAAGTATTCGTGTTTCGGAGAGAGTGAGTTCCAGTATATTCTGACAGCTTGGAATCATTTTTGCTCCACACGCAATGTAAATTACCCAGATTCCGTTCAGTTCCGATTCGAAAGTTTCCAGAACAGGCGAAGAGGAATCAGAGTATATTCAAAACTTATGAAGTTTCAATGAATAATGACCATTTTCAGGATGGACTGCGCATCTTAGAACGGCAGAGTGGAGTTTTAATTAAGACATACGATATCAAAGTTCATACGAGATTTGCGGAAAAGCACGGAGAAGGAAGTGCTGATCTGCGAGTGCTGTTTATGCATAAGTTGATGGAAATCTTAGGAATCGGACCGAAAGTTCATTTCCTTTCTTGCACTGATCATTCCGGATTTGGTCTCTACATTGCAGCTGAAGATTGTAACTTTCAGTCTCACATTCTTGAAATCTTATTCTTATAATTTAGTGTCTTCGTGTGTTGTTGATGAGTCTAGCGTAAGCCGTGAAGGGAAAGATCGGGTTAAGATAGTATCTCTCTGTTGTTTTTTGAGAGACATAGCGAAAAAAGCAAACTATGGTGTCGATAGCCAAGGAAATTTCATAATTTTGGATTTTGAGGTTGTTGTCAATGTTTTCGACTATTTATACCTTTTATCATTTCTAAGATTCGTGAACAAACTAGCTACATGTTTAACAGCTTTTTACATCTTGTGGGAGCAGAGAGTAGAAATATGGCAAAGAAGTTCCTGGAGAATTTGGATATAGCCAACAGTATAGATAAGGCCAAAATTGAAATCGAAGAGCAAAGGAAGCTGTTAGAGGAACATGGGATAACACAGAGAGCAGAGCATGATTTCGATGAGTATTTGGCTAAGATCGAAGACAATTTTCAAAGGTTAACGAGCTTTTCGAATGAATGAACCAGAACAATCTCTTGGAAAACTCGGACAATCAATTCATCTATATAAGAGAAGAGAACGACAGAAGTATCTGGATAAAAGACGGTTAGACTTGGCTCACACACTCATACGATTGGGATTGGTCCACTGTTCTGAATCAGAAGTCATCCCAGATTCTTAGTTTCCACCTTTCTTATTTAATTTATAATTACAGGGTAATCAATTATATATAATTATTAATATGCTTATGTCTTTTAATTTGCGAATGCTTTCTGAGTGAAGGCCAGATGACTGAAAGAGAATTGTAAGAGAATACATGATTGAATCAACGTGAACGACAAGCTCGCCTTGGAACAGCTTTTGATATAGCGCTCGCGAATGTATTTTTTGGCCTTTTAGTTAAAAAAAGCTCGAACATCCATTTACCTCCATTTACAGTTAATCGTTATTTTTATATTTTTCTGCTCATCATGACAGTCTTTCTCCTACCTCACTGAACTATTGCTCAGCCTACTCTGATAAGAACAAGTTCGAAATTCTTAAATACTAATAAAAATGAAAATTTTATTGAATTACTCTTCTGAAGT